ACACATGTCAACATATACGAAATAATGCTGAAGTAATATGATGAGTGATATCGAGATGATTTATCGAGTACAGTCAAGGCAACCTGCAGAGATATGGCTAACAAACATTAGATCAAACACTTGGTAGACACAAAAAAAATCCATACCAAATATTCTAAAGATTCTTTAAAAGACTTTCAAATGCATATTTTCGAGATTCGAGTTGTTCCGGACCACCTTATTCCCAATATACATCTGCCACTAATCACAATAACATATGTATAAAACAATAACTTACAAATACATATTAAAAAAAAAAAAAAAAAACTAATTGCATGTAAGTAGCCATCCAGTGTTCCTTCCAGCTATCAATATGTGTCTTATGCTCCCCACCTGCACAATTTGTTACTATTAAACATCTCCTCGTCTTCCAAAAATAATGAATATCGTACATTTATTCTAGTCTAGTTGGGTCACCACTTCAATAATTCACAGCATAGAGATCATTTCGGGATCTCTTTCACCAAGATCATCGGATTAAGTGATTATGATCTTTAAAATTTCATCTAACTGTCTACCTGTTTTAATTCCTTAAAAGATATAATAACTTTTGATAGTTAGATGAAATTTTAAAGACCCGGATAACTTGATTCGATGATCTTAGTGGAAGAGATGATTTCTTTCCCTTTTATTTGGACCCCAAAATACAAAATCATGATTTTTTTTTTTTTTGGCAAACCAAAATCATGATTTTTTTTAATTATGTAACCCACGTGATGACGTGACAATAGTGGCCACGTCAGCATGTTCCTACCGTTTTGTTCTATAAAAACCAAGGCAGGGCCATAAGCAATTCTAATATCGTACCCCTCTTGGCCAAGCAACAAACACATAGACCACCTTCAAGAATGAAGACCCAAAACATCTGTGGGGAGAGTTCTCTGTGTGAAGAACCGACGAGGGGTTTCCGGGAGACGCTCCGTCAGGCTTATCAGGCCGCCGTGGTGGTTATGTCTAGGCATGGAGCTCAAAATAATGGTAGGGGTCTCTTGGTTCCCAAACCAATTGAGAGAAGGTGGAGCTACCCTGCAGAAGACCCCATTAGAACTCTCATATTCTTAGGGTCTTGGAGCCATACCTAGACTTTGAATACTTGTTATAAACTATGTAAAATATGATGTAGAATTTGGATTGTGGATCAAAATTATTGAAATTTGAAAACATGTATGATATACTATTGGTGAAGTATAATTTATGTGTGATTAAATAATTATCATATGGATTTGACTCTCCTGCTACAATATCACTTGTATAAAAAAACAAAAAATTAAACTCGAAACTTCTCACAAAGTAAAAAAACTAAGAATCACTAAACTAAAGCTCGACTTGATGGCACTATATGACAAAAACAATTGGACAAGATAAGAGAGGTATGTGGATGGGCAACCAAAGGTCAATCGGTGCTATAAGGCCCTCAAATGATGATCCACTTTGTGAGGATGTTGGGAATCCTCAAATCATGTCCGTTCATCATACATCGTGCGGTCAGTTTTCGTTAAGTACTGTTTATGTTTAATTTTAAATAAAAATATTTAAAATGATTTTTAACCGTACGATGTACGATAAACGGACATGATTTGAGGATACTAAAAATCATCACAAAGAGGATCCGGAGAGGATCTCATTCTAAGGCCCTCCACTAGTGTATCAAGTGTGTTATAGGTTTTTGTGTCGAATGGTCATCTCCCCTTCAAGGAGGGTAGGTGCCTCACGCGTAGTTATCATTGAAGAGTGAATCTCGCCTAATCATTTTTCATTTAGAAAAAAAAAAATCAAACTTAGGTTACTTAATTTCTATAGATAAGTATCACACTAAATTAAACTACAGTGAAAAACCAAAGAGTCAATTCACAGTGAGCAATAACGTATCTTATTTTGACAGCTCCCCATCAAAGTTTGCTCATTTCGAATCTAAGTTTGTTAAAAAATGTATTCGGATTTGAAAGGGGCATATTCTTTGCACAATATAACTTGTTGAGGAGCATGTAACTCAAATAGTAAAGCGTATTTATTTCTGCAATCGAGATTCTAAGTTTAACTCCCCTCCCGAGTATCGCTTGTATGAAAAAACATAAGAATTGAACTCAAGACGATTCTAACAAAATAGGAACCGAATATCACTAAACTAGGTCATGAAATGCCCCTCCTCTTCCCACCATTTCATCTTGTGAGTTGGAAGTGAACATACAGCCATAAGTGGATTATCTTAACACAGTGAGTAAAGCATCTTCAGGTTGATAGCTTCCCATCAACATTTTGCTCCTTTTGATTTGAAACCTTTGGAATCTACGTACTCGGATGTGAAAGGGGCATCTTACAAATTTTTAGCACAACATAAGTTGGAATTCTATACGATATTCTTTCAGTTTCTTTCACCGAAATCACTTGGTTTCTTACACGTATAGAGTTATTTTTATAGACAAATTACATTTAAACAAGTGTGCAAATATTGTTTTCGTAATTTATAGTCAATCAGACTATAACTTACAAATATAAAGAAAACTACTTACATTTAGTGTTTAAAATATTCACAAATCTTTTTATATTTCCGTCGAAATATTTGAAAAATTAAGGATCGCTATAGAAAGGGGGAGATGAAATGCAAACTTCACCCTATATCAGTAAGATATAAGAAGATCAATGAATATCGATGATATTTATCGATTCACTACATAAATTTTGCTGCAACCTGTTGCAGATTTCGAACTTTTGAACTTTTTAAAGAATTTTTCTCTAATTTCAACTACATTTGAATGAGTTGACATATTCATCAATTTCCATATTTCCGTCAAAGACAACAACCAATATCAATATCGGTATTTTCACCTATATCAATACTTTAATCATTGTTTACATGTAAGTAGCCAACTTTATTCGATTCCAGCTATCAACTAAGTAGCCAACTAGCTATCAATATTGGCATATGACAAAAGCACAATGAGCACACATTCCTCTAGAACGTGGCATTGGATTCAACATGTGTCATATGATATGAGATTGAGATTCGTTCTGGATTTCTGTGTTTAGAGTTATGAACTAAGAGACATGGATCACTTAATTTCAACCATATGACCTCCATTAGCCTATTTCACTAACCCAGTTCACAAAAATTCAAAAATCAAACGGCTAAGATCTCTCTCTCTCTCTCTCTCTCTCTCTCTCTCTCTCTCTCTCTCTCTCTCAAACAGTTTGAATCTCTTGGTCCGGAGACTCCAAAAAAGAAAGATTTCGGAGTGGATTTCATTCCTATGATATGAACCCATGCTCCCCACCTGCACAATTTCTTACTATTAAACATTTCCTCATGTCTTCAGAAGGAATCAATATTGTATAATTATACTGGTCTAGTTGGGTCACCACTTCAATAATTCACAGCATCTTTTATTTTCACCTCAAAAAAGAAAATCATCATTTTTTTAATTACCTAACCCATTGACAATAGTGGCCACGTCAGCATGTTCCTACCATTTTGTTCTTCTATAAAAACCAAGGCAAGGCCATAAGCAGTTCTAATATCTTACCCTTGTGGCCAAACAACAAACACAGAGACTACCTTCAAGAATGAAGCCCCAAAACATCTGTGGGGAGAGTTCTCTGTGTGAAGAACCGACGAGGGGTTTCCGAGAGATGTTCCGGCCGGCAGGCTTATCAGGCCGCCGCGGTGGTCATGGCCAACCAAGGAGATCAAAGAAATAGTAGGGCTCTTTTAGTTTCCAAACCAGTTGAGAGGAGGAGGTGGAGCTGCTCTGCAGAAGACCCCATTAGAACTCTCATATTTTTGGGGTCTTGGAGCCACACCTAGGCTTTGAGTACTTGTTATAAACTATGTCACATATGATGTGGAATTTGAGGGATGGATCAAAATTCTTGAAATTTGAAAACATGTATGATAGACTATTGGTGAATTATAATTTATATGTAATTAAATAACTATTATATGGAAGGTGAACATTTGAGCACCGGAAAAGTAGCTCATTTGTGATAAAAATGTCACATGTTCGAGTCGTGGAAATAACATCTTTGCAAAGTAAGGGTAAAGATGCATACGATAGACGTTTTCTCTGATCTTATAAAGCGAGAAGTCTTGTTAGCTTGGAGTCGCATTTTTAAATAATTACCAAGATATCAACAACTGTCATGGTCATATGTGTTATGTTTTTATTTGACAAATAAATTATGACAAAGGATTTGAGTTAAGAGCCCTATGTTGTTTCGGTTTCATCGACTTTCTAAGTGGAACTCTGATGAACTATGTTAAGATAGTTAATTTTGCAAGAATATTATAATTGGTACTGTTTGACTCCTTATATATAAGATATCTTTTATTTTATTTAGAGGATTGCATACTTGTACTGCTATACGTTTTCAAGAATTGTAAACCTCTATATATTATGAATTTATATTTTCTTATGTCTCTTTTGAAAATGCTATTGAAATGATTAAAATTGTTTTTGATGAAATTGATTTCAGATCTCAAAAGCACTTTAAGTGTTTTTAGAAATAAGTATCATATATGTACTTTATGCATGAAGCACTTAAAGTGAGAGAAGTGTTTTAAGTTATTTTAAATAACCTTGAAACAAGTCCTTATTATAATTGGAATAAGTGATTTTCAAACTCTTTTTTTTCCTCTTACACGTAACAGACGTATTTATTTACGATATTTGAATTGAATGGATCATAAAATAATTAAAAAAAACACAAATACAAATGAACACGCGGATATCATTTCCAATAATTTATTAATTTGAAAGAGGGTAGTAAGTTAGGTAGCCAACCCCTTTCCCCCAAGTTTTTGGATTTTAGAGCAAGAAATGCATTTGGCTAGACATTGACAAAAATAACCAAAACCTACTTGCATATATAACAGGGCAGTGTATTCCATACACCATTCTCAATTTTTATCCATCATATCATATAAATTGAAAAAAATCAAATGATAGAAATTAATAAGAAGCGTAGGCGATAAAATAGGCGTGTTATAATATTGCAATCCAGTCCACACACAACCTTAAATTAGAAACTCAAGCAAGAAACAAGACAAGCTAAACATCCAAGATCCAAACTTCTGTTTGCTATAACTTCAATTAATTCTAAAAAAAATAAAGAAAAATATATAACTTAATTTAATTATCTTCAGTTACTCTCTCCTCCTTCTTAGTTGCCTTGTTCATAAACTTGGCCATCTGAATTCCCACAGAACCAGCTGCAGAACCCTCATGGGAACTTCCCTGTCCAGAATCAGAAGCATCGTTGGCATTCGCAGCCTGCATTGCCTTCTTCTTCTTCACCTTCTGCGCCCAACCCACAAGCCCCACCTGCACATGGTCGTCGAAAATCGCCTTCTTGAAATGAGTCCCCATCTGCGTAACAATGGCGTAAAGCGGCAGCGTGCTGTAGCTGCAGAGCACCTGTATGAACACCCCGATGATCAGCCTCGGCACAATGTACTTCACTTGCCCCATGATGCAGGAATCGAACCCGTACTGAAGCCAAATCCAGAAAAAGAAGGCGATTTCGAAAGCGTTCTGGAACAGTATAAAATGGATCAAGAACAGAACTAGTCTGGGTTTTCCGAACCAGAAATGATCGTCTGACGGCTGCACAACGAGGTCCCCTTCGACTGCTATATGTTTCTCTGCAACTTCGTGTGCCAATTGGGTGATGATGTGCTCGAGCTTCGTCCCCACGGCGAGCAGAAGCAAGAAGGGGACGAAAGCGATCCAGAAGTAAGTGTGCCAGCCGTTGATGTTCATCAGCAGGAAGATCACCACAAAGATCCACAGATACCAACTGATGCCAACAACTTTCTTGAAATCGTCCTCCAAAGACCGCATCATGTACTTGTGGAAATTGAATTTGGGGTTTCCCCTGCAATGCGTGTTGATGAATCCGAGCCGAAGCGTGATGTAATCGGATTTAGTCACGGATGCGTAAAACTGCTTGATGAACGAATGAAACCAACCGAGAAAGACCGAATTTTTACCCATGCCCAGAAAATGGTCACGGATAAACGCGTGCTGGTGGACATGGGTAACTTTTTTAACTTTTTTCTTCTTGAGAAGTTGCTCCGCGTCGTAATTCTCCTTCGCGATCGCATCCTCCCACACTTTCCATCGGCGAATCTGAATCCCTCCGAAAACCACAGTCAAAACGCAGAAGGTGACGTGGACGATGGCGAGGACGAAGATGAAGATGTGCAGATGGTGCAGAGCTTCGAGCGACAGCAACGGCACCTTGTGTTTTTTGGCGCAGTACCCGATCTGCAACGACCCCTCCTCCGCGAAGAGCCGCCGCATTCCGCCCAAATGGGAGGTGGGTTCTGCCTCCTCAGCCTCGGCGGGGAGTTTGCACGGCAAGAGATGCGCCATCACGTCCTCCGAGACGCAGAACTTGGAGATGGGGTTCTGGAAGACGGTGAGGAGCAGAGAGATGAACCCCAGAAGCATAAGCTCCTCCTTGATTTTCTGCAACGCTTCGTAGAGCGATGTCTGGTTCTTCTTCTTCAGGTACTTGCCGCCGTAGTGGAGGAAGCGCTCGGCGGCAAGAGAAAGGGCGACGATCACCGTGCACACCGCCGCGACCACCCATGTCGGCGTCAACTCTAGCGTCCGCCCCTCTTCGCTTTCACCACCACTCATCTTTCTATCTATTTGTCTTCAGTTCTGTGCCTCTTGATTTTTTCAGTTCCCATTAAAATATGCAATCACTGTACTTACTTTAATCGTAGTGCCAACAAAAATTGTTGACTAAATTGAAAAAGTTGCCCTACTTTTTTCTGACCGAAAGAAAATTAGGAAGAAAATTTGTTGATTTTTTGGAGTTTTGTATTAGGATGAAGATTAAGAAGCAACGGTTACAATTTTGCCATATATATTTATCTTAATAATTTAATTCTTGATGGATCCTTGTACCAATTTTTTACATAATTTGTAAGAGCGTACTTCGTAATATATTTTAATAATTCGAATAGTTCATTTTTTAAAATTTTATATATAAATTATTCCTACAAAAAATTAGATAAATTTAAAATTATTAAAATATTCATATATAGTAAAAAAAATTGAGGAATACTATTTTACAAAGAAATCATAAATTCTTAATTCAATTGTCATATAATTTCAGAATTAGATAATTTTTGGTAGACAAAAGATTTAAAAAATAAACCGCTCGAATTGTTAAAATGCATTATGAAATAGAATTCACAAAATATTTGTAAAAAAGTTATATAAAAAAATAATGCTACAAATCCGTCGGTTTAATTTTGATTATTTATTTATCAGAATTTTAATTATATATTTAAGCGTCGGTCCAAAGGACAACTCATAGCTTATCACTGTCAGCCCTTTGGGACCAACATACGTGGGGGTTACTATTCAAAATATAAAAATAAAATTAAAAATTAAACAAAATTGTGGGGGCGAAAGTAAGGGCCAATTAAAAAATAAAAAAAATGCGGGGAGAAGGTATGCGCCGGATTTAGGAATGATTTGGTATTACTGTGTTTTGAAAAAAAATTAATATTGTGTATGAAAATAAGTTTAATTTTGTTGCTTTATGTTTTCAATTTTTTTTCACTTAAAACTGTGAAAATAAATTATTTTTAAGTGTTTAAAGTATATCCATTTTTTATAAACATCAGTACCAAACCAGTACTTATTACGATGTTTAACCGTTTAATTGACACCAAATGGAACTCAACCGTTGCCAGTTGAGCGTCTTTTTCCAACAAGGATGTAGGGTAGGACATTTTAATCGCAAAATCGATATACCAAACCAAAATTACTGTTCGATTCAGGTTGAGGTGAATCCGCTAGGGAGGGAGTTGGTCGGTTTTTGGACGCTGAACCAACCTGCGTTGTGTCGAAGGTGGATAAGGACTTGAAAACCGTCAACCAAACCGAACTAACCCGATCACCATAAAGTCTTCAATTAGACGTTTAGTAATTGAAGCGAGTGCATAACCTTACCAACTAACAACTATCCATCAGAATGATTCACGTGGCAGGGTAATGCAGAAGCGGACGTGGACGATGGCGAGGACGAAGATGAAGATGTGCAGATGGTGCAGAGCTTCGAGCGACAGCAATGGCACCTTGTGTTTTTTGGCGCAGTACCCGATCTGCGACGACCCCTCCTCCGCGAAGAGCCGCCGCATTCCGCGCAAATGGGAGGTGGGTTCTGCCCCCTCAGCCTTGCCGGGGAGTTTGCACGGCAAGAGATGCGCCATCACGTCCTCCGAGGCGCAGAACTTGGAGATGAGGTTCTGGAAGACGGTGAGGAGCAGAGAGATGAACCCCATAAGCATAAGCTCCTCCTTGATTTTCTGCAACGCTTCGTAGAGCGATGTCTGGTTCTTCCTCTTCAGGTACTTGTCGCCGTAGTGGAGGAAGCGCTCGGCGGCAAGAGAAAGGGGGACGATCACCGTGCACACCGCCGCGACCACCCATGTCGGCGTGAACTCTAGCGTCTTCCCCTCTTCGCTTTCACCACCACCCATCTTTCTATCCTTTTGTCTTCAGTTCTGTGCCTCTTGATTTATTCAGTTCCCATTAAAATATGCAATCACTGTACTTACTTTGATCGTAGTGCCAACAAAAAATGTTGACTAAATTGAAAACGTTGCATTACTTTTTCCTGACCGAAAGAAAATTAGGAAGAATATTAGTGGAGTTTTTGGAGTTTTTTATGCATTACATTTAGGATGAAGATGAAGAAGCAACGGTTACAATTTTGCCATATATATTTATCTTAATAATTTAATTCGTGATGGATTCGCGTATCAATTTTTTACATAATTTGTGAAAGCGCACTTTGTAATATATTTTAATATTTTGAATAGTTTATTTTTTAAAATTTTATTTATAGATTATCTTTACAAAAAATTAGACAAATTTAAAACTATTAAAATATTTATTTGTAGTGAAGAAAATTGAGGAATACAATTTTACAAAGAAATCCTAAATTCTCAATTCAATCGTCATGTAGTTTCAAAATTAAGTGATTTTTTATAGACATAATCTTAGAAGGAATATTTAAAAAATAAACAGCTCGAATTGTTAAAACACATTATGAAATAAACTTCACAAAATATTTGTAAAAAAATTATATAAAAAAGTAATGCTATGAATCCGTCTATTTAATTTTGGTAATTTATTTATCAGAATTTTGATTATACATTTAAGGGAGTTTTAACGAAAAGTTCTCGATACTGTTCACTTTAACGAAAAATCATATTTTTACACTAAAAAGTCAAACCTAATACTATTCACTTTACCCTTTATTTTGTCCTTATCGTTAAAACTCAAAGTTTTCAAGTACTTTTAATTAGTTTTCCTTATATTTAAGCGTTGGTCCATTTGGGACCAACATATGTGAGGGTTACTATTCAAAATATAAAAAAAAACAAAAAATAAAAAAAAAACAATGAAGGGCGAAAGTAAGGGCCAATTAAAAAATAAAGAATATAGGGGGCGAATGTATGGCCCGGATATTTTACGATGTTTAACTGTTTAATTGACACCAAACAGGACTCAACCAAGTTGAGCATCTTTTTCTAACAAGGATGTAGGGTAGGACATTTTAATCGCAAAATCGATATACCAGCCCAAAATTATTGTTCGATTCAGGTCATAGGCGAATTCATGAGGGACGGAGTTGGTCGGTTTTTGGACATTAAACCAACCTGTGTTGTGTCGAAGGTGGATAAGGACTTGAAAACCGTCAACCAAATCGAACTAACCCGATCACCATAAAGTCTTGTTTGGGCCCAAAATAATATTTTTGGGCCGAGCTTAGAGTCATTCTTGGCCCAATAACATTCTTCTAGAATCTTGTCATGGGTTGTCCAGTCAAGGTTGGCCAAATCCTGTTGCAATGAAGATTGGTTTAAGATAAGGGTGAGGTAGTCGAACCCTAGTTTAACAAGGAGTCTTAAAGCTAAAGATGCTTAGAATTAGGGAATGAATCTTACTTGTTAATGAGCTTGGTTCAAAGTCATATAGGGGTTAGGATTGGCCGAAACCTGATCAGATTGGGATAAGGAGTTCTAATCCAAGTGCATCTCTAGTTTGACCATAAGGGGGGTTCGTTATTATTAATAGAGAAGGGAGTGCATCATTCATGCCCACTTTAAATCAACACACAAAGTGCCCTGCGCAAAGCTTCTCAACAACCCTGAGATTTTTTCCTCTCCCCTTTTCTTCCCACCAACACATCTTCAGTTTGGATAAACATCATTGTGAAGGCAACTGGCGACATATTCAGTTTGGATAGACAGCACTTGAGTAGTAGAATTAGCCAACCGAGGAGCACCTTAAGTTTGGATAGACAACACTGCTTCGAGATCGACTGGTTATTTATCCAAATCTCGGTCAATAAGGATTTTCCAGTTCTTGTTGGTAGATGTCATCTCATCAGCTTTCTTGGTGAAGTGAGGTGTTATAGGTTACTAGGCTCAGCACATTGAACGCCGAGTTTTATTTTATGATTGGATATTGACAAGTACATTTTAGAGTTCAGCATTCCAATGGTCGAACCACATTTACCATCAAGACATTTATCTCTTTCAAGTATTTGTGTTCGTATAGTCTGATACCAGTTCGGTGTACTTATACTCTCACGAATATAATTACCGAGACTGAACCCGGACGATTTGTGAACTTCGCAGAACTAACAGCCTTGTCTTCAGGCTCTAAAACCCGAAGGCCAAGACGTGATCCTTCTTCAGCTGTAGTAGCAAGATCGAGAAGTCAACAGCACGCCGCACGCGATATCAACATATTTTACTCCTCGACCAACGAGTTGGCACACCTCGCATACAACCGAATAATGTAGTTAGCTTATTAATCATTTGGCCTGCGCGCCCATGTAAGCTTGATAGTTTTTAGGGTCAACAAGTATTCGATTACACGTTTAGTAATTGAATTGTGTTCAATTTTGTGATCCGAATCCAACACGTTTAGGTAACTGAAACATTCAATAGTCGTATCTCTTCCTATGGGTCGGATTCTCATGCAATGGTCAATTAGTTGGCTCAAAGTGAGTGCGTAACCTTACCAACTAATAACAACTATCTGTCAAAATGATTCACGTGGCAGGCTACTAGTGTGCATTCAGCTTGGAAAGAGCACGTTCAATTGTTATAGCCTTTGTTTACTAACACCAAGGGACAAGGGAATGAATAAAAAGGTGAATCCTACATGAATTTCGGTATGAAATACCTAAAAATTAAGGGCATCTCCTTAACATGGATGTTTATTCCATAATCAATCTTTATCTCATATACATACCATGCAAGTAGGGGTGCAAATTGAATTGGAAGCGCCAATCCGAATCGAAAATTTCCATTCCGAATCCGAAATTGTTTCGACCTTAAAATTTTCCGAAAATTTTGGTTCCTAAACCCTAAAATGTACATAAAGTCCATAAGCCGCAGCACACAGAGCCCATAAAATGTTTGGGCTTTATGTTCCGTACAATAAGGTTAATGGGACGACCCATATTTTTATGGGCTTAATGAATTGAGGTTCGGGCTTTGGGCTTACGGAGTCCAACAATATAAGACAATTCTTTCTATTTTTTTTATATATTTATTTTTTTATCTATTCCTAGTACGCCTCTCCGGTTTAAAGAACAAGATAAACCTTCCAACAAAATAAATATTTATATAAACAATTCAACAAGAACATAGTAGTTAAAGGATTTTGCTAATTGGTTTTTTTTTTATTTTTAATTTAATGAAAACAACAAAATATTATTTTCTATAGTCTTCGAAATCGCTTTTGTTGGGAAGCATTATGCTGGTTTTTGTAAGAAGTGATTACACCAAAAGCATGTCTAATTTTTTATTCAAAATTCAAGTGATTTTTCTAAAAGGCACTCATACTTGTTGGATTTTTTTTTTTAAATAACTAAAAAGTAATTTAAATAGTGTTGAGAGAGGAGAAGAGGAAGACTCTAAATAACATGCAATAATAGACAATCCCCCACTCGTTCCTACTTGCGTTTCAAGACTAATAAATTTTCCAACAAGTCATACGAAAACTGACTTTAATCATTCAAAAAAAGACTTTTAACTATTTTAAGAGCAGTTTGAAAAGGATTTGAATTGTCTGCCATCCTCATTCCATACTATTCTCATCCTTTCTTATAGTCACGGTTAAGTCACATCAACATTTTATATTCTCATTACTTTTTATCTTATTATTTTTATAAAAAAAATCAATATAAAATGTTGACGTGGTTTAATCGTGACCACATAAATAAAAGAGGATAAGAAGGGTATGAGATGAGGAGGACAGACAATCAAGGTCCGTTTGAAAAATACTCATAAAAAAATTAATGGAGACATTATTATTAGAGTAATGCTAAGAATGTCATCTATTTAAATCATATGTTATAAACTATATGACGTAATTGTAAATAATTGAACTGTTACTTCAGTATTAAGTAATGTGACAAGCGGTAGAAATGTGTTGAGTTTTTGCATTACAGTGTGAGTTCGAATACCGTCGGTAACTAATCTAACAAAATATATCGTTTGCCAAAAAAAAAGGTTTAAGCAGTGTACTTATATCGTCTCAATGACGTATGACGGATCACTTAATTTACAAATATAGGCTTAAAAATTCCTACTATTTTCCGCAGAGCCTATTTTAGAATTTGGCTGACTATTTTCGTCCTGGCATTTTTTCTATATAAAACGGAAGAAAAGCCTGATTTCCGATTAGCCTCTTTCTCTCGTCCTCGTCCTCCCACTATTTTCCTCTCCGCGATTTCCAGGGATTGGATTTGTGGATTTTCCCTAGCTCTCTCCGCTCTCCGTCCGACGCACTCTCTCTCTCTGCGATTTGGGTTTCCCGTCGTTTCGAATTCTTTGGGAAGGTACAATCTTTCTTCCTCCGCAACTTCTTCCCATTGTTTCGAATGTTGTAATCCCGCACGCAGCGGCAGTCCTTTTTTTCTTCGTCAGCTTCGATTCTACGGTCTCCTTGTTGTTCTTCGCTGTGTAATATGTACTTGTTTGTGGTATAGGATTATGGGTTTTGTTTCTACTTTTTTGGGTTTTTTTTTTTTTTTTTTTTTTTCCAGCGATCTGTTTGTTTTTAGGGGTTTATTTGGTTGGCATTGTTTATATGTTCTGTGTGGGATAATGATTCCCAATTTTTGTTTGTTTATTATCTATCTAGGGGCTTCCCGTGTCATCACTTGATCATCATCTATTTAGGGTTGTTTGTTCATGATTTAATCTGGGGTTGTTCTCCATGACTTTAATGGCATTGCTATACTGCTTTGATTACCATGGTTTGTTCGTCGTTTGTCATTACTTATTGGCGCCATACATTTTTCGGTTGATGTTATGGAATATATGGTTGTTATATATTTGCCAATCATTTGGCATGACTATTGGGGGTTACTCTGTAATCATTTCCAAATTTTAACACAAATGAACTTGCACATAAACAGTATGTGTACTCGAGAATGTACAAGTGGGCTATATGGTTAACCTTTTGTTGGGGTTTTTTTTTTCTTTCTATGTTGATAGAATTGTAGTGGGACGGTAGCGAAACTTTTGTTTCAAACAAATGGAGCGCAAAGTTATTGAGTTGGATCAAGGATGGGACTATATGCAGAAGGGGATCACGAAGCTGAAGAAGATCCTAGAGGGGTTACCGGAGCCTCAGTTCAACTCAGAAGAATATATGATGCTTACACGTATCCTTTGGTTGTTTTGTATATATTATTTAAACACTTTGTGTTTCTTTTATTTGCTCCTTATTGGTGCGTTCTCCGAGGTGAACCTTTCCTTAACTTTAAGTACAGAACCATCTATAACATGTGTACTCAGAAGCCCCCCAATGATTACTCTCAGCAGCTATATGACAAATATCGGGAGGCATTTGAGGAATACATTACTTCAACGGTGAGGATCGAGGAACATCCTGAGATGTTTGCTAATGGTTTCTTTCTCCTGATCATTAACTAAAGCGACATTCTTTCATTATTTTCTGAACTTCGTAGTCTTATTTGGTTGTTCATCTATTAGGTGCTGCCTGCTCTTAGAGAGAAGCATGATGAGTTTATGCTGCGGGAGCTTGTTAAAAGATGGGCAAACCATAAACTGATGGTTAGGTGGCTATCACGCTTCTTTCATTACCTTGATCGTTACTTCATTGCAAGAAGGTCACTTCCTGCACTCAAGGAAGTTGGACTAACCTGCTTTCGTGATTTGGTTAGTTATTGGATCATTTATATGTTTATACATACTTTATGCAAAAATACCTCCTCACCCTTATATGCTTTGTTGTTTTTCGAAAGGGGATTCAGTAATCTCAAATGTCTTTAATATGCAACCTCAGGTTTATCGGGAGGTCAATGCTAATGCCAGAATTGCTGTTATTGGTCTTGTAAGTTTATTGCTTCATGATCAAGTCTATGTTTATGTATGTGTATCCTGGCCATGATGAATGTTGTATGACCAATCAGATTGATAAAGAACGTGAGGGAGAGCAGATTGATAGAGCACTATTGAAGAATGTGGTAGATATATTTGTTGAAATTGGAATGGGTCAAATGGAGTCTTATGAAGAGGACTTTGAAGCACACTTTCTACTAGATAGTGGTGAATACTATTCTCGTAAAGCAGCAAATTGGATTTTGACAGATTCTTGTCCGGAGTACATGTTGAAGGCAAGTTTTCATGTGTTCAAACAGAGTGGATTTTCAGTTTTTGTCTAACACCTCTTGTGGAATTATACAGGCAGAGGAATGCTTGAAAAGGGAGAAGGAGAGAGTTAATAACTACCTTCATTCAAGCAGTGAACAAAAGCTTGTGGAGGTTAGTTAATGTGTAATACTACATTTTGAGAATCCAGTTAGTAGATAGTATGTGTGTATATTGGTAGCTATGTGGTAGCTGTGATATAGAAAGGGTTTGTGTATGTATGTATGTATATATATATATATTAATGTATGTACATTGGTGCCCATGTATAATAATATATTTTTAGAATCCAGATAGTGGATGGTATGCATATACTATTTGTGTGCCCCTGTATATTATAGGATCTTGCGTGAATGTTGGAAATAAGTGAATTTTTCAGAGGAGTCTTATGAAACCTGTGGGCCAATTGTTGATATTTGAATCATTTAGAGGTGTGTTAGCATTAATGCATTAGGAGTTTATAGGGTGTACCATTCTAGAAAATCTATCAACATTGTGCAACATCGAATGTGGCAAGGAACATACTGATGCATTACATATGCATAAAAGGTTTAAAACAACCTGATACATTGGACGTGGTATGATTTGCCTAATGTTGTGACCCTGCTTCTATAATTGAAAAGGTGGTGTAAACAGTTTTGGTTTGATAATTTGTATTATTTTTAATCTCATTTGTCTTGTATTATGATGTTATTTTCTTTCAAGTTCTTCTAAATTATAGTTGCACTCTTGCCTGTAGAAAGTGCAACATGAGTTGTTGGTGGTTTATGCAACTCAACTGCTTGAGAAGGAGGGTTCTGGATGTCGTGCTTTACTGAGATTGGATAAGGTATCTTGTTGCCTGGCAGTTTATGATCCTGTTGGCAATCTATCTTCTATTGTATTTCTAAGACTATGTCTGCTTGTTTGTGTCTAGGCTGACGGTCTTTCTAGGATATTTAGACTTTACAACAAAATACCTAAAGGCTTGGACCCTGTTAGTCTTGTATTTAAACAGGTTAGTTTGTTTTTTGTTTGTGTTCTTCCGATCTCTTTCAGATGCTCATTTATTACAACAGTACTAACATACTTGATGGTTTGCAGCATATTACTGCCGAAGGTACAGCCTTGGTTCAACAGGCTGAAGATGCTGCAGCTAACCAGGTTCATTATCTTCTTGTGTTTAGGGTTTGCTGCAAAAAAGAATCTCGTTATGTTTATGCTGAAAGTGACATATCACTAGTGTCTTGGTGTTATTGCTGCCATATATTTATCCTGAAAGATATATTGAACTTAAGTATAGGTGTGATTGCTGGATGTGTTTTGTATTCTGTTTTGGTGTATGCATGCTGGAGTGTAATTGCCAATCACTAAAATTCCTGCATGTTGCCTCTATTTGATGCGTTTCGTAGATGTCTTTGGTGCGTCTTGTAGATGTCATTTGTTGATTTAAAGTCTTCACATCACTTTTAATTTGGACCCTTGGATGTGATAAATCTGAAGATTGAAAAGAAGTGTAAAAATACGTGTTGAAATGTTTGTCCCTTCATCCTAACCCATATATATACACATATATGAAACTTGCTTTTGTACTAACATGTTTTTTCATTGTATAATTACAACTTACGATTTGAGTGAGTGATGTTTGAGTTGATGTTATTGCATGGTTGCTTGATGCACATTTAATTACTCATCTTGGAGCTTTGACTCAAACGCTTATTAAGTTCAAATGGATCATGGCATTATATGTGCTAATCTATTGAGGCAGAAGAGAATAAAGTGTTGCTGGAATGAGATGATTGTTTTAAGTTGACCTTTTTTTGGCTAGAAATTTACTGGCCTGACAGTAAGCTGTCTTTTCTTGAATGCTTGTTGACTAAGTGTGCCAAGGGCTTTTTATCAGTATTATTATTTGATTTTTTATTATGTGTGCATTGGTGAATCCAATTAAGCATCCTGGAGTGAACTATATACGTATTCATCTTGCTTTTTATGATTATGTTGTTAATTTGTATCGAAATTGCTTCTGCAGGCTTCAGGTGGAGCTGGCACACAGGAACAGGTAACTAATTTAATACTATTATTTAATAATTTCGGCAGTGATTGGAGGTCCGTGGTTGATGTATCTTTTGTGGTTTTCAGGCTCTTATCAAAAACATAATTGAGCTGCATGACAAGTATATGAAATATGTTGATGAAAGCTTTCAGAACCACACACTCTTTCACAAGGTTAGTGTTGCAGAATTCGTGTTATTTACATTTGTCATGTTACGTTATCTAAAGGGCCTTTTCTATTGGTTGTTTAATAGGCTTTGAAAGAGGCTTTTGAGGTATTTTGCAATAAATCCGTTTCTGGGAGTTCAAGTGCTGAATTACTTGCTGGATTCTGTGATAATATCCTCAAGAAGGGTGGCAGTGATAAGTTGAGTGATGAGGCCATAGAAGAAATGCTTGAGAAGGTATTATTTTATGGAGGGTTTTTCATATTACGAATTTTCATTTATTGTTGGTGATGCGTTTGGTAATTCTTATTGAACTCATTTAGTCTTTTGATTAATTTTAAGATTGTCATTTAACTTTCTTCAGGTTGTTAAGCTGCTTGCTTATATCAGTGACAAAGACCTTTATGCAGAATTCTACAGGTAAATCGTTTATTTTTCCTCTCAGTTTATACCATATATGGTTTTGTGTGTCTTACAATTTAAGTTCTTGTCAGATACTTTCCGGTTAGTGTTTTAAAAAGGCATGTACCAGTTACTATGTGAAAATCCAATGGTTAATAGTACAAAGTCTTGGGTCATATAAGTGATACGAGTTCTTTTAGCCAGTGGGTCAGTAGACAACATGGTAAATGATCATGAAGAGGTAACAGTGTCTTTGTACTCAACATATGTGTGTGTGTGTGTGCGCGTGTCGGCTCAGTAGACAATAAGTAACTGTTTTCAATACACAGGAAAAAACTAGCCCGTCGGTTACTTTTTGATCGGAGTGCCAATGAGGACCACGAAAGAAGTATTCTGACAAAGCTGAAGCAGCAATGTGGTGGACAGTTTACGTCAAAAATGGAGGGAATGGTGAGTGGGCCTGTTTTTTTCACTGGGAATGTTTCTGACTGTTACTCCACCATTAATAGAGATAGTTCCCCCTTTTTTTTCTGTCGAACTATGGTTAATTTCGTATGGAAATGTTTATATCTCGAGCAAGAGAGTTAAAACCCCAATTGGGGAACAACCCTTTCCAGTGTCTACAAAGTAAGCTACTGGTTACCGGGTCACTTCATAACAATTACGTGCAACATAAGAAAACATGATATACCTCCAATTATCTATCCATCTGATGCACATCCTGCAAGTACTCTCATTATCTTCCTCTGTTTCCAGAGATATTTGTCTTTGAGATCACAGAGTATTTTTAAATAGGGAACTTTAACGAAAAGCACCCGGTACTGTTCACTTTAACGAAAAACCACATTTTTACACTAAAAAGTCAATTATGGTACTATTCACTTTACCCTTTATTTTGTCTTTATCATTAAAACTCAAAGTTTTCAAACCCTTTTCATTAGTTTCCTTTATTTTTAATACTAGGATTGACATAAGTTGGATAGGAAAATTATTTTTATTGATCATAGTTGAAGTAGAAAATTGTTTCTATTGACCTATGCTGACATATGAACTTATCTATTGACCTAAATTAAATTTCCTAAATTATCTTTCAGGTCACAGATTTGACAATAGCTCGAGACAACCAGAAAGGGTTTGAGGAATATCTTCAAAGTAACCCTGCTGTAAATCCTGGGATGGACTTGACAGTCACTGTACTTACAACTGGCTACTGGCCAAGTTATAAATCGTTTGATCTTAACCTTCCTGAAGAGATGGTAATATTTAGTTTGTTGAAGATTAGCACTGCAAATATATAGATTGTGCTTGGAAATACACATGTTCCCAATTGCGGTATACCTGATGCCCATATGTTTGTTATATATTTGTGCTCCAGGTTAGGTGTGTTGAAGTTTTCAAGTCATTCTATGAAACAAAAACGAAACACCGGAAACTTACATGGATTTACTCATTGGGCACGTGCAATGTTACTGGCAAGTTTGACACCAGACCGATTGAATTGGTCGTGTCAACCTATCAGGTTATTGCACTATTTTGCTTAATTATTTTGGCCATTGGCAGAATGTCACCTTTTCAAGATTGTATTCGAGTATGGGGACTATATTTTGTTGCCTTTTTTTTTCACAGGCTGCTCTCTTGCTCCTCTTCAACAGTGCTGATAAATTGAGCTATTCAGAAATACTGACTCAGTTGAACCTTACTCACGACGACTTGGTTAGATTGCTTCATTCGCTCTCGTGTGCCAAGTACAAGATTCTCACCAAGCAGCCAATTACAAAGACCATCTCAACGAATGACAGCTTTGAATTCAACAAGAAGTTCACAGATAAAATGAGAAGAATTAAGGTCTGAGATCCCTATACTTTTCTCCACTTCATTCTTGTTCTGATAGTTGAAGTTTAATTAAAGTTTGCTGTTTTGTTATCCTTAGATTCCTCTCCCACCAGTGGACGAAAGGAAGAAGGTGATTGAAGATGTTGACAAAGACCGGAGATATGCTATTGATGCTGCTATTGTTAGGATCATGAAGAGTCGAAAAGTTTTGGGTCATCAACAATTAGTCATGGAGTGCGTTGAGCAGCTGGGAAAAATGTTCAAGGTACCACATTATGTTTGTCATTGAATGCAATTTTCAATTTACGTTCATATTCTCATGTCCATATCTATATATTCCGCGTTTCTCTGTTCCCGTTTAATCTGTACTGACAACGGGTTATGGTCGGACTTGAAATGTGCAGCCGGACATAAAAGCGATTAAGAAGCGGATTGAAGATCTCATCACTCGGGACTACCTGGAGAGGGACAAGGAAAACCCCAACATGTTCAAGTATCTTGCCTGATTCGGTTGCGTGGGTATATACTAGGGACTAGTTGAAAACCCTAATCAGAAAGCTCGAACCATAGTTTCTTCTTCTTCTTCTTCTTCGGACTTGAGAGCCGAGAGATCTGCTGTAAATTGTGTGCAGCTCTTTTAGAAATGCTAGGATTTTGGAAGGAGTGGAAGATTTTTGTGCAATCCGGTCTTAACGCCATTTTTGTGCAATTGACCCATATCCCTGTTATTATTACTACTATTTATTAATGGCAAATATTATTAAGATTTTTGTGTTCGTGGTTGCTTAACGAGGTTTCCAAGTCCAAACCAGTGTAAACTTTTTCTCCCAAGATTAACATAATTACCCACTTTGGTATCTAAACGTGAAAATCAATACGAGCGGTCTATGAGCTTGTTCACTTTAAATTTATTTTGGTCATTTCATGAAAAAGTTAACATTCTTGTGAAGTGGAGGGTCTGGCGTGACAAAAATACCTTTAAAAAGGTGGTCGCTCACGTGACAATTTAAAGAGGATATTGATAGATTTTTTACGGAATGATCAAAATGATATACGGTGGACAAAGGGATCACTTTTATCAAATTTTATTGTTAGGGACCAAAATGAGATTAGCCAATCTCAGGGGACTCTTACGGCTAAAAAGTCTTTGGTTTATGCTTCGTGAGTTTTGTTCTCTTGGTTTACCTAGTGACCAAGAATAAATGGCAACTCACCGCTTGATTTGATATTCAAATTCGTACATTTATTCTTTGATATCAACAGTTGAGTTTGAGACATTAAGGCTATCTTCAACTGACCTGGCCAAAGAACCATATGGCTAAAAATAGCTCGGAATGACACGAAAAACGTCTCCATCTGAGGGCAGGCCAAAGGGCTTGTGGGCCCCACAAGGCCCAAACCCCAAAACTAGGACAGTGGGCTAGCCATTTCTAGCCAGGCCTCCAACGCCATAATGTCAAACTTGACATTTTGCCAACCCTCCCGCTCCAGAATGTCAAGCTTGACATTTTACCAGCCCTCCACCTCAACCCATTTGAATGGCAATGGCTACCTGGTGCCTATTTGAATGGCAATGGCTACTTGGCGTCAGCTAGCTAACGTCATGCAGCCGTCAGGTTACCGTTGGAATTTGAAATATTTTTTTTTTGGACGAATTTTAAAAAAAAAATCCTATAAATTCCTACACCATTCCTACAACATTGAAAACTGAAGATAAGAAGTGTCACATAGATAAGAATTCTATCTAAAATTTGCACAACCAATTACATCTCGACACGTGGCATTCGAAATCTTATCCGAAAAATTATTGAGATTACATAAAGATAAGAAATCTGGAGTTACTCACGTTAGCGACACGTGTTACTCGAAATCCTATCCAAAATATTATTGAGATTATATAAAGATAAGAAATCCGAAGGCTTATTCATTTGGCGACAAGTGGCACTCAAAATATGTCCGAAAATCTTATTTTAATATCGTAGTTTAATTTAATTAACCATATTAATTTAATTAAACTAATAAATTATTTTGACTTATGACCCTTTGGCCCCCTCGGTTGGAGATAGTTTTTTGTCAAAGGGCTATGTCTAGCCTATGGCCCTTTGGCCCTCTCGGTTAGAGATGGTGTAAAATATGGTATATCACTGTTCATTAAAATATAATTTCTTGCAGAGCTATAAGGCTAAAGGGAGCCTTTTGACCCTCCTTTGGTTAGAGATGGCCTAAAAGCATTCGTTGGTCGCCAGGTGACCAAGGGACCATGTAATTTAAGGGTGAGGTTTGTTGGTCATAAAAACTGTGAATTATAATTCACGATTTTATTGACATTTTGGCTAGTTTTTGTTCCAGCTAGAATTTTTCTTAATTTTCTACTTTTGAGGTTAAAACTAATAATAATAATAAAAAAAATACTTATTACAGATTTACACATGCAAAAGATATCAAGAAAACTCAAAAGTTACATTTTTAATAAAAATTGCGAGCTATAACTCAGGATTTCATCGGTTTTTTTGAGATGTTTAATAACCATCTAGCTTGTTAAAGTTCAAGCATCGACTTCCCAAAAACTCAACAATTATCATTTTCACAAAAATAATGATTTACACACTACTTTTCGGTTTCGTTACCGTTTTTCTATTTAAACACAACTCTATTGTTTTTTTGTTGTTATCAAAAGATAAATTTATTAGATTAGATGTTAGATTAAAGAGCCGAAGGAATTCGAACTCACGCAATGGTACAAAGACAACACTTATTTCCACCACTATGGTAGATAGCCATTTGCAGCACAACTCTATCTAAATTCACCCCACTCTTAAGACTTTTCTTTCTTTTTTTTATAATTTTTAATTTATGAAAAAACAAAAAAGTACACATTACTTGAATTTTTTATATAACCTCTCTCTCTACACAACATAAACCCTAACACCCTTCAAATGTTCATCCATCCCCGGAGCATTGCCAACGGCTCCTCGTGCAATCAAATCTGCGATATTTGGAAGTCCCATCGACGCAAAGCCTCCAAGAGAACCCGATGACTCAAATCAGATCCAAACTCTCGAAATGGCGGGTGTGGCATGGCGGTGTTCAAGGGCAATTTGGTAACAAACGTGGTCTTTTTAGAAAACCAATAAAACTCAAATCTGTCATAAACAATAGACAAAAGAGACCAATTCTATTGATTTTAAATCTCAGAGATCAAAGTGAGAAATTATGCCAATCTCAAAGGCTCGGTGCTCCCGGCGACATTTTGAGCAGCATTCAGTAGTCGAATATTTGAAAACGGTTGTAACACAGGTATCCACTTCCAGCTTCTGCCATGAATGTCATTCCTTCAAACTCAAAGCTTTATTGACAAAACCCGGATAATTACTATCGCTGTCGCTACGGGTAATCAACTATTGAAGTAATTCTAAACCTTATTGTGTAAACCTAAACAATCGTTTAGTGACTAGCTATTCGGAAACTATGCACTACCCACATCCGGCAAAACTCGAAACAAGAATATCACATCGAACTCAGTTGTCTACTAGATAGAGAACCGCCCCCGCCCGCTGCTCAACCTGCAAGCAGAGACCCCGTCCGGTTAACGAAACATTATATGCTCCTATAAATGCAAGATTTGAACTAAGGGGGTGATCAGTCATTGCATTCTTATTAGAGTTGATATTGCTTTTTCTAGTCCTTCGACTGAATTAAATCCAAGGAGAATCAAGAGACGGAAACAAATGCAAAAGGAGAAAACGGGAATGTGAAGATCACTACGCTAGAATAATCGGGTTCAATGCTGTCTCCTCTCACTCTCATGCATGGAAAAGTAATTATAATTATCTGAAGTCTGGAGAACAGATTTAACATTACAAAAGCATTAGAACCTTACCTGTTAGATCTCAAGGACCGACCTAATAATATCCAACCGATCCCCTTCTCTTTACAGACGGAAACACGTGCAGATTCTTCAATAATTTGTATATATACATTGTAGCCACTGGAAGGAGAAAGTGAAAACAGAAAGCCGGTTGGAGACGAATGAACACAGAATGAATCATCAAACTTTCACAACAATAACAGCTAACAAACCTTTGAGGAAAGAAACTCAGGCAAGCGCAGCAGGTTGGAGCTAACATGCATGACCGTGACAATAATTCGCTGATAATGTATTTTTTTTCTTTTTCTGATTTCGTGTCTATTAACGCAAAAGAGGATATCCTAACTACAACAAAGGTGAAGACAACCTGCACATGTATCAAAATCAAATTCAGACAAAAAAGTGCAAACAACTAAAATGGTAACTGAAAAGAAAAAAAGGTTTGATGGGGAAAATAAGAGATTATCTATTAGAACAACAGCATACCTACGGTTTCCATTGTTTTCACCATTTTCTACAGTGTTGATATGGTCTCAATCTGTTGAATCAGATCAGACAGTTTGCGCACATACTGGCAGCTGCCAGAGTCTTCTCCACACAGTTCAAGATAACGGATTATCAAGATAAGTTAACAGTCTGAACAATAAAGGATCCCCAAAGCTGTAAGTTCTGGTTTTGAGACTCGAAATAAATCCCCTATTGATTTTAGAACTCGTTTTCTCGTCCTTATATACAACTATTATATCTCTCCTCACATTCTTGATGAAGTAAATCCACCTTCAGAAGCTGCTCAGAACCTTTTCAGCAGAGCTGTACTTGACGATGGTTCACAATACCTCAAAATAAATAATTGAGATCTGAATAACCTGTTTGGTCTCTGTCAGCGCTTGCAAGCAGATTCAGGACCACAAAATAAAATGACTAGGAGTCATCTACTTGAAACAAGAAGAGAAACAACCAGTTCCTCAACAAAAGTTCCAAGCAGTTCAGCAGAAGTATCAAGGACAGCCTCTTTTTCCTCCCTTCTTAAGGCATGAGACCAAGGATTCACCAATAGATAAACCTTCGAGGGTTGAATCATCCCAAAACTACTTGCCTCTTTTACCGGCTGATAGCATCCATTGCGAGCCGTACCAAATGTAGCAATCCTTCTACGTCTTGGAAGTGAAAGTCAAGAGCCCTTTTAATGGCAGAAATACCTTCTGAACGCTTAGCATCTCCCGTGTTTGTATTAGCAGCTGCAAATGCAAGCCGCGATTTCCTCGACGCTTCCATTGCAAAATTTACATCCTGAGTCTGCAAGTAATCATATTTACAAAATGTTCATTCGTTGTCCACACCTCTCTATTGTAAAAGGAGAATACCCATTCTTAAATAAATTGATAGTCAATTCTTGTTCATGCCCTTCTCTGACCACGTTATACATACTAAAAATCTAGAATAAATTAATTGTGATGAAAATTTGTGCAACAGTACAAGCGTAACAAATTGAAGTTTCAATATAGGATCTATATAAACTTACAAAATTGAGTATCCGGAGGAAATTGGGACGGTTTCGGGCAGCAATAACATGGTTTCCAGCAACTTGGGGAGAGCTAACGCCCTTGGGTAAGGCAACCTTGTCAACCGTTGAGGGGTTATTTAGGTTATCAACATCAGAGGCAGAGGAAGAAGGAGATTCACCTGATAGAAAAGCAGCAAGGATATCAAATTAGCAACAATTCAAAACAAGGCTATTAAGAGCCTTGCATCTCCTCTAGAACCAAGTAACAGCTCACTTAGACTGGTCAATTTACCAGGAGGAACCAATTGTAAAGCTCTTTGCAACTCAAAACGATCTCTGCTTGCACTGGCATGTGAGCAGTATACCGCCCTCATATAAGCCACCTCCATGCATTTGTAGGCCAAAGCAGCAGCAGCCATATCCTTGGCTTTCTCATATTCATGAGCACAAAACCTACAGATAATTTAAATTAATAAGGAAAAGCAGAACAGGCATGAAAGCTCCAGAACCCATAAATATAAAAGCCCGCAAAGAACGCTTAAAAAAATGGGATGGCTCCTACAATTGTTACTACAGTACATGCCAATAACTATTCTAATGACCAAAGATGGCAAAATCAATTATGAGAAGATCACTCCCTACATCTTAAGAGCTAATGCTATGCAAAAGGACACTGTCTCTGTGACCCCTCCCAACCCAATCCAAAAAGGCTTTAGATGTAAGTCCAAACACATGAGGGAAAAAACCACAAAAATATAGTTGAAAGTACTTCCTAAAATTGCGTACAACCATATTATGGGTCCCAATTCACACATGCAGGGTTCCGTGAAGGGTAGACAAGGACTCACAGCAAGGTTGCAAAAGTCAACACAACTCACCAAGACCCAAAACCAGTGCATGTGCCATGAGAACAGAAGTATTAATACAGCTCAAACTTGACTTACTTGCATAGTTTTGCGGTGCTACTATACATTTGCATGCACTGAGTCATGTCATTATGCTTGGCACTATCAATATTCTCCAACAAAGAGGCAGCATGAAGAAATTTGACAGCCGCTTGGAAGTAAAACCCCGTACTTTCGGAAGTTGACCCGGTGTTCTGCAAGGATTAGTATTACACATAATTATCGCAGAAAGGAGAACAGAAATATCTAATCATGAAAATATGATAGGTTAAAACCTTGACGCGATCAGCAAGATGCTTTAGATCCTTAGCTTCTTTCAGAGCACTAGTAACAGCCTGGCTGCTGGAGTCCCTTCTAACTGGACTAGGGGCATCAATATCCCTGGCACTGTGCCCATTCTGTAAAAGATGCCTTGAACTGATATGCTGAGTTCCATTCTGATTATCAACCTTTCTGGTTTGTATTTGCTTCAGAGCATCATTACCTTCAGAGGCATCAACTTGTGAGCTATCTGCTCCATTACCTTTTTGAGAACCCACAGCTGGTCGAGGACAACGGGTTGTGGTCTCATTTTGAGCCCCACCAGAGGTTGGCAAGGGTAGTGACTTCCCCCTAACTGAGCCTGCATCCACTCGTTCAGTTTTTCCGGAAGGAATCTTTGAGAACCTTTCACCATCACAATCTTGCAGCGAATTCTGCTTGGGAGTAGAAATTGCATCTTTTTTGCAAATGATTTCTGGCTTAACATCTGGGCCATCATGCCCCCCGAAATTCGACTGACCTTCCCTTTTACTGCTCTCAAAGGAAGATTTTCCAGTAACATCTTTCTTGCTGACATATTTGTTCTCAGTTTGACCAGATTTAGACCCACACTTGTTTTTACCATCCCCGGGTTTTATTCCATGGGAGGGTGAATGATCCTTCTGTTCACTGAGAACTTTAGAATTCTTGGCCTCACCAATGTCCAAATCAGATTCAAAGCTCCCATTCTTGTCCTTTAACCATGAAGAAGAGTATCCCTTCCCTGACTTTCTTGGGTGAGATCCATTAGAGTTATAATGCTTTCCATTCTCTCTGTATTCACCACCAAATTGATTAGAAGCCAAAGGTTTAGGACACCCAGTATCTTGACCTGAATTACCCAAAGCACCATTCATAGAAAGACCATTTGTGATATCCGGCGATGGGGCAACCTGCCCTCTACCTTTACCACCAGATATGTGATTAGAATCTCTGTCCTGGAAATCAAGCACAGAAGACTCATGAGACCCATGATAAGCCACGGTGGAAACTTTGTCCTTCCTCGCTGTAGCAGATCGATCGCTCGCACCATCATCTTCGCCATCTGAGCATCTTCTTGGGCTACCTATGGCAAAATGACCAGCATTTTGTGACTCATCCTTTCCAATGAGGTCCCTGCCTACTGATGTAAGCTTATCGGGATTCAAGATTCTCATAGGTGAAGATGAGACGGATTCTACGGGTGAACCTTTAACTTCCTGAAAGCTGGATTTGGTTTTCTGGGAACCAGAGATTTTGGAGGAGCTTGAAGTTGCAGCCATAGGAACCTGTACAGATCCCAAATCTTTTTTCAAGGAATCCATACCATTCCTACTCCGGTGAGTTAAACTGCTGCCAATATCTTTTCTATGTTGTTGGTTCTTTGTATGGCTGCTCTTTTTGTCTGTTCTACCACTTCCTTTGCTTGCACTAGACTCTTTTCCATCAGATTTAGAAGTCCTTGCCTTCTTTTCTTTCCTGCGGTCGTTCTCACTAAACTCCTCCTTCACAGCAACTGAATGATCCTCAACATAACACCCTGTAGCTGGAAGGGAACCCATGTCAGAGGATTCCTTCACTTTTCTCTTTTTTGATCTACCTCTAGAATCACAGTTTCCCACATCTAAGGATCGACTTTTTAAGAAAACTTCATCCTTTGTTTTTGTAATAGAAGCAGCATGTGACCTATTCTTAATTTGATCTTTCCCTGCTGCAGCACCACTTGAGCTAGGACCTACCTCCCCAACTGCCCAATTGTAGTCTGATGTCCATCCTTCATCATTAATATGTTTAACTTCAGTCTTGATTTTCTTGGAAGCTCGAGAAGAATCTGGAACGGAGTCTCTTCTGCTCTTTATCTTTAAATTCTTGATGTCACCTGTTTGACGTGCTTTATTAGTAAGTAAATAGCATTCAACATGATTAAGGATGGCTTAAAAAGGACAAAGAAAAAACGCTGCTTCATAAGCCATACCTCCCCTAGTAGAGGGCTCTAAATCTCTATGCTTCTCCCTGTACTTGTGTTTCCGTTTCTCCACAGTCATGTCACTGGACTTGCTTAGCTGCTGCAAATCAGGTTCACTTGGCAGTGGAGACTGATTCACATCATTCAAGCTTCTACTCTTCACTGATGCCTGCACGGTTTTCTTCATGGAGTTTGGAAACTGAATGGAACCATCCTTATTAGTTGCATTTGGCAATTCTTTTGCTCCATTTTTTTTCTTTCCACTACTAGGCATGCCAGGCAAACCAAAATTTTCAAGGTTTTGGTCAGGGTTCAGAGGCTTAGTCAATGCCACTCCTTCCATTAAACCAGGATTTCTAGGCAGATTACTTTGACTCTCAGGGGCAGAAACTTGGTACTGTGGAATTAGAGCTTTCGTCTTTTCTGTTGTTTCATCCTCGTTTACATTACACCGATTCATCCCAGGCCTAAATTTGAATCAAGAGATCAAGCTTCAGAGAGAGAGAGAACAGAGAGGCAGAGATTGGAATGAACAGTCATTACACATTATAAAATGGCATATATTATCAATATACCAGTTCAGGTTTTGTGGATATAGCGATATACCATGTAATATAATGAATGTAGTGATAGGTTAGAAAATGCCTACTAGAAAGGAACTTACAGCCAATTAAGCATGCTACACAGCCACTTTTCAGGTAGGCTCTCCGGGTTTGTACCATATGGAAGAAGCCGCCATTTCAGACACTTGTCACAACACACCCAATTATCTTTTATCAGTGCAGGAGCCCCTGTAGCAGGAGGCACAGCAGACACGGGCCCATTTCCAGAACGTGGGAGTATATTTGAAGCCATCATAGGATGTGAGTCTGCAATTGATGATGGTTTATCAAATTTATTGCCATTTTGTCTCTCCCTTGATGTACTGTTAACTACAGGTGTGCTTTTTGCAACAGCATCAGTGTCCTTAAGCTTCTCTTCAAGGGGAAGTTCAAATAAATTTATTTGGTTATTTTCATCTATATCCCCAAACAGATCTCTATATGTATCCCTACTTTGATCAGTATTAGAACTGTTCGCATGCGTGCTCTTCATCTTGGGCACTGAAGAAGAACAAACCCTTGAGCTTTCTTTTGGCATCTCAGCAACTGGGGTACTCTGACTTTCCTTCGGTTTCTTTTTTTCCCCGGGTAGCGGATACTCCTTCCCAGAATATAGTCTTGTATCATCCACCTCATGCAATCCAGCCTTCTGATTGATTTTCTGCTTTGAATGGTCCATGATTTCAGTATTTAAAGCTTTCCTCCCTTTGGAAACATTTAAGTCACCTTTTACCAATTCATAAGTTTTCTCTCCTCTGCAACGGCCCTCTTTCTTTGGATGAGCCAAAACGTCATCGCTTAAATTTACTTTTCTATCTTCCTGAACCTTTCCAGCCAAATCATTTCTTTCGACCGATTTTGTTTTCCTTGCTCTTGATACTTTCTCACCACCCTCCATGGTATGAGTTCCACTCGCTGTACCCTCTTTTAGAAGCTTTTCCTTTTCAATCAAGTAAATGAGGTCGTCATGAAGAGGTGACATCATATCCTCATGCACCGGAAAGGATGTCATAATCTGCTCCAGAGCGGCGCCAAAATAAATGTTTCAGTTTAAGCACACTATTTCTAAAACAGAAAACATCTGAATATTACAGGGAGATGATTCACCTGAAGAATACTGGTGGGAGATTCAAATGGGGCATCTCGAGGCTCATGAGATATCCCTTCACTCTCTGAAGGGCTATCATCTAGTGAGGAAGACGGTGTGGTATCAAGGCCAAGCCCACTGTAGATAGCATTTTTTCGTGTCGACAAGTTATCTGATCCCACTTTAATTCGCACCTTCAATGTTTTCTGGTCTGATGAATTGATAGCTTTCTTGTTTGCAGATTCATGCCGAGGAGCGTACTGGTCAGGTTGAACTAATGAGGGTGCCTTTGGTACAACAAGCGAAGTGGAACCAGTAGAAGCAGGTCCTACTCCCACTGACTGAGGTGTATTATAACAAACTGCATTGTTACGTTGACCAGACTGTGCGGAAAAATAATGAAAGATGCTCAAGTAAACTGAGAATTGTCAAAGAAACAAACAGAGACAAAGATTTATCTGTACAGAACTAGATATAAGTAGGAAATTATATGCTGATAAAGTTGATACCTCAAGTTTCAAATTGTTGGGAGATTTGAGTAAGCTGTAGTTGTGAACTTTTTGTGGAGTCTTCGGATGAGACCACACTGGAGACCGCTGATAGGACGGTAAAAAAGAGCCATACCCACCCCACTTTGCCCCTGTTTCAATGTATTGATTGCCAACTCATTACTTAAAGAGAAGGAACTCCAAATTAATGCATCTCTCAAGCACAAGAGATAATGTAATTCCGTTCTATTGACTTACCCAAATTCTCCGCAGATACCTCACCTTCAAATTCTTTCTGGAAGTGTCCCAAAACATCCTGAATTCTATCATCCTAATACCAGAGAGAGCAATATGAATCATTAAAATGCAAAGCTCGACAAAAAGACGTTAAGTAATAGTAAGAGCTAGAAACAAGGCGGTTATACTTCAGTAACACTCTTCATAGGATTCAGGCATCTTTAAGATTTAAGATACTACAATGTCGAGCTACCAAATATTAATTACCTAGAGCAATCACACTTCATGACCCTACAAAAATACTTAAAACAAGTATCAAAACTGGGGTTTTGAGATTTTGAAGGTCACCCATTGCATTTGAAGCATAGATAAATTCCACAAAACTTGATTTCTAACATTCAGATTTTACTATCCCGCATAAATCATAACTACACAGTAGCCCAATATGGATACAGAGACTCCAAAACTGAATCGTATGCAAGGGAAGTTCTATGGCACGTTAAACCGTTATCATAACCAGTAAGTTCAGTGCAAATTCCAATTATTACATGATCCAACCTCTCAAAACAGCATTTTCACGCCCGTCCATAAGTCAAAGAGGGATACATACTCACATTACAAAGTGGATGAATACGATATGTTAGCAACGCAATTACATGACAAGAACATGAGCTAAGTAACGAAATCCTAAACTACAGTTTCCGCTCCCTCAAAGCAAATATCAAATTTTTAAACTTCTTAAACTCAAGTAAGAGATTTCTACACCAATTTAATTCAATAAAAAGTTCTCATTCCATTACGTACCCTTAAATTCTTAACACAACCAAAGTATTCAAATTCAAAAACTCCATTAGCTCGGATCTAGCAAACCGATACAAGTCAACCCGAAAAGTTTCTAGCAATTCAAAACCAATAAGCAGCAAAAACACATGTACATACAAATCTACGTGTATATATACATATATGTGTTTATTTATGTGCTATACGCTTACGATGTAAGAGAGAGCATCGATGTTGGAATCGTATTCATTGATGTGTGAAGAGCAAGCTTCGCCTTCTTCAAGCTCAGTATCCTCCATCTCTCTCCGACCACCAAACCCTAATTCTACCCCCTCCCTTGCATCCCTAGTCCGCACAGAAATCATCCACAAATCTCTCCCCCTCTCTCAAAATCTACAACTACTAATCAAACCACGACCCATTCAACACAACCCAAAATCCCAAATCAATCAAATTCTCACCGATCACACAACCACCCTCAGAAATCAATAACCCTAAATCCCAAAATTCAAAATCTTCCAAATTTCCCAAATTAAAAACGAATTTACAAAATTAAACAAACCCAACTGGGTTTCTGAAAGCTTCGATTTCGCCAACAGCAACAATCTTATGCTTTTCAGAGACGCTTCCTGCGTGTAAATTCTATTGAGCAGAAAATTTGATCAGCAGCACTCTCTCTCTCTCCTCTCTCTCTCTCTCTCTCTCTCTGGTTTTTGGTGTTTACAGCAGCCGGTTTCTTAATTTCTGATTTTTCCTTTTTATAATTATTTTTATTTTCTTTCTCCCGGAAGCAAAAAAATTAATAACTTATTTTATGTATTTATTTTGGAAAATAATATTATTTTTTATACTTTTATTTGAGTTTTGGCCCCTCTATTTCCTGTTTTTTTTTATGTAATGGCTCTGTCGTGAAGACCCGAGGATTTATAGTTTGAGACGCAAGCATATGCGCGTGGAAGCACGCTTCCTCTTGTTTGGCCCTTAAGAAAATCAAGAAATTTACCTTTAGAGAAATTTTATTTAGACCCAGCTATCTTATCTCTATACCTATCTAAAAAAATTTCTCTACTAAACTTTCAAGTTTTCCCTTAAATAAATAAGAATAAGAAAATATAAAAAATTAAACATTGGTGTTTTTATCTCTACACTCAATAATTCAAAAAAAGGCACACATCTGTACTCCTCCATTATTTCCCGCGAAACACACCCAAATGACAACAAAATATTCTTCTGAGTTCATCAACAAGTAAGCTTGCTAGAACCCTTGTTGCATGAAACCCTTAGCGGCCCTCATTTATAATTTCAGCAGAGAAAACTTCTTACCAATTCATTGGACAGGAAACAAATTTCTGCAATATGAGAAAAAAGTTTCCATGTCAGTGTCTATTTAGAAGAGATAGCAACAAGGGTTTCTAGCAAGTTAACTTGTTAGTTTTAATAATTTATGCAAGTAGCCAACTCCAAGATAATGGTTCAAACAAGTAAACATATCAGCTGAAAACCTACACTGAAATTATAAATGAGGGCTGATAAGGGTTTCTAGCAAGCTGACTCGTTGATGAACTCAAGAGAATATTTTGCTGTTATTTGGGTGGTTTTGCTAGAAATAATGGAAGAGTGCACTGGTGTCTTAGTTTTGGAGTTATGGGATGTAGAGATAAAAACATCAATGTTTATTTTCTTTTCTTCTCTTATTCTTATATATTTAAGGGTAAACTTGGAAGTTTGATAGATAAAAATTATTAGTTGGGTGTATAGATAAGATAATTGGGTCCAAATAAAATTTCCCTTACCTTTATTGTTAATACGAGCAAAATGTCGTTGTTAGGCATCGATAAAACATATGTCATAAAAATTTATCTATATGGATTATTTTTCACGTTGGAGTTTAGATCTACTTTTTATAATTACTTGAACGAAAGTTGTTGTTAATGAAATCTTAAAATTAACATTAATGAGTAAGAGCGTTATTTAATTATTTAAAAAAAAATCTTTACATTGTCTAAAACAGCATCTCGTCAAGATTGTTAATTGAACAAATTTGTAGATAGTGTTTCGAGAAGAGTATATTTATTTTTTAATTAAAGGAAAACATATTATAAGTTTTTATTATTTTATTAGTAAAATCTCATAAGAAATACTTTTTTTTTTTGTTGTCAAACTATAAACACGGGTAATTTATGAGTAGAATCTCGTTTGTAAACTTAGATTATTTATTTATCAATTAAAATTTTGTAACTGGGACATTAATTTGGTAAACTGGATGTGAAAATTTGGCATGTAATATTAAATAGTAGAATATTACGAAGAACTAGTTGGCAAATTATATCGACAAATTGTAATTTTAACAATTGATTTGATGATCTTTTTAAACTGTAAGACATATTGTGTTATTAAATTATATTTAAATTATTTATCAAATAAATTATTATAAGGAAAACTAATGAAAATGACTTGAAAACTTCGAGTTTTAACGATAAGGACAAAATAAAGGGCAAAGTGAATAGTATCATAATTGACTTTTTAGTTTAAAAATATGGTTTTTCGTTAAAGTAAACAGTACCGAGAATTTTTCGTGAAAATTCCCATTATTATAAATAAAACTAATAAAAATAGTTTGAAACTTTCTGACGTGTTATGTTGCAATACTGTATAATATCAACATGCTAATATTTTTCCGCCGACCTAAAATTTTGTTGTGCGGCAACTTTGTCATTTGCACACACTTGGAAGGTGTGTCTCAAGACTATTAGAAGGCGCGTGGGGGAAAACTATCTAGCATTTAGCCACTTGTCACCTGGCGACTCCAGCATGTTCTTTTATACCTATCCCCAACATGGGAGATCGGTACCAGAATGGTACATCACACATTACTAAACAAATGATAGGATATTTATACGAAAAAGTTAATAACTTAAAAAATAAAATTTCTCATCACTTCTATTGAAACATGTGATGTGCCACTTGTGTACCCTTGACAATTAAAAATTTCTCCCCCAAGAGGTACAGTTGGAACGTAAAAAAACGACTTAAAAAGGTAAAAAAGAAATTATTTAAAAATGCAAGAGAAACAAAATAAGAAAATACAAAATGGAATTTAAATAAAAATATTAATTATTTAAGACCAGTTTAGAAATTATTCAAAGAAAAAATATTTTTTAAACTAATTTTTAATAAATACGTCAATTAAATTTAAAAAAAAAACACATGAAATCTAAAAGTGTTTTTAATCACTTTAAAAATACAACTTTTAGTTACCGGAATGTTTCACCAAAAATAGAAAATAAATAAAGAGAGAGAAAGAGGCGCACACTCACTGGGTTTGGTAAAGACAGCAAAACCTCAAATGGTTGACCATTTCATGCTTAAAATATGTGTTGGGACAAAAATCTCCCTCCCTGTATGTGGTTATCAGTGTGGAGTTTTTATTTTTTAATTTTTTTTAATTTCAGTTTAGTTGTTGAAAACAATAATTAAGGCCACTCATGTGTGACAAATTGTCAGTTACTACAATATTGTTTATGAGTTTTGTTATAATAATCGTTGGTTGAAATTATTACAAGATTATTGAAATTTTCAAAGACAAAATGGTAATTTAAGTTATGAGGATATTACATATATTGAAATGTGTTCATCATATGATATGCTAACCAATTAAAACTTTTTTTTTTAACAATTGATGTAATACATTAAGGAGAGGGGTTGGACTTAGCCTCACAATGCGCTATCAATAATGTGATTCAAATTTGCAGTTGGCGAAAATCGAACCTAAGATCTCTCACTTATAAAAAAGATGAATACTACCAGACCATAGTACTAAGTGGCAATTAAAACTTATTATTAGTTTCTAAACATAAGAGAAGGGTAGAAACACGTAATTTGTGAATAGATTTAGTGCAAAAAAAAGTTCGAGAGCTGCTAGATCCACTCATAGTGTCCTATTTTCCCACCTACATTATAATCTCGTCAACCATAAAATGTTAAAAATTAAAATACTGTTTTCCACCTGCAATTATTCTTAAGATAACCTTTAATATGATATTCCCCACATGCTATTGTTCCTAAGAAATTAAAACACCTGCTTCCAAAAAATAAAAATAAAATAAAAAAATAAACACCTACTATTATTCATAAAGTTGGCTTGCATAAGCGTGCAACAAGTAATTAAATTAAATTGTGAAAAAGAAAAACCAATGGGGATATGAAGTTTTTTTTTTTTTTTTTTAACAAACGATATTATTTACACCAAGAGAGAGAGAGGGTGGGTTTAGTGTCACAGCCCGTCCCGGGATTTTTATTTATCGAGGACGTGAAATGACGGGATTGCCCTTAGTGGTTACTAAGGTATGTGTGTGTGACATATTATTGGACTAAATACATACATTCCTAAACTTTTGGAAAAATAATTTAAGTTGGATTAAAGTTGGTATGTATGTTTTGTGTGGTTAGGGATTTTAAGAATTTGATTGTGACTTGTTTTTGGGTGGACCACACACACACGGGACAACCCTCTCTCTCTCCTTCCCCCGTGCTCTCTCTCTCTCCTCTTCGTTTTAGTCTCTATCTCCCTCTCGAAATTGTACGGACAAAGGCCAAAACCCTCCAATCATCACGGATCGACACCAAAAAGGTAAGGTTCTTCATCCTTTCGACCTCCTGAGTCGTTTGATACTAGTTTTAGAACAAGAAACCTTAGAAATCACGTTGAAAACCCGAGGTCCGATTTGAGTACTGTTCATGCATTCGTGATGTGTTGATTTTCAAGGAATTCTAAGCTTATAGTGAGCTTAGTGAGGTCATAAGGAAGTTCGGAGTGCTTAGTTTGAAGGTTTTGGACGTCGGGATCGTTGAGTTCGAAGTTGGCCGGTTTTCTTGGAATTTCTCCGGTGAGATTTCGTAGTTTTTAGAGCCTTAAAGTAGTGTAACGTGATTCTACATGCTTAGGGCTTCATTTTGATATAAAATACGTGAAAAATGGTTAAGAAATGACGGAGAACAAGAAGATTGAAAAATCTCCAGTTTTCCGGCGACCGGCGAACCAGTCCGGCGACTGGAGGTTAGGGGTGACGCGCGTGGACCCATGCCCATCCCAGCGCGTGGGGGCGCGTGCGGCCTCGAAATTTTTTTCTAAAAATACCTCGACGTCCGTGACGTCGAGTAGGTCACTGTGGTATATTCATATACCCAAATTGAGCACCGTATGAGAAGTTATTACGAATTGTCGGTTGTGTGCTTTAAATAATGTTATTTTAGTTGTTTCGCATATAGGTGGTACCTATCCCGAGGACGAGCGCATCCAGGGATGTCACGGGGGTTACGACCCTTCGACTTATCAGTGAGTGGGCAGTTATTTTCTGTATTTACCTATATACTATTGATTTTCCCATAAATTGAATTTAAATGAAAGTATGTTTTTCAAATGCCGTGCATGCATATTATGAATGATATGAATTAGTAATTGATGCATATATATGTGAATTGGTGCTGTGGACGCACAAGTGAGTATCAGGTGAGTTTTATGTTATTCATGTGAATTGTTGATGATGTGAATTATGTTGAGAGCTCATAACCTGCACCCCTGGTGTCAGTGCTTATAGTATTCACCGCACCGCACGCTCACCTTGGATCAAAGTAGGTGCATGTCGTACAGACCATGAGAGGGTTCCGACATGCTAGTCGTATAGATCACTAGAGGTGGTTCAGACTGGTAGGTGACCTTAGATTATGCGCGCAAATGATTGAT